TCACAAAACCATCAAAACATCGACAAACAAAATTGTGCGTATTCAGTAAAATCAAAGTCTGCCGCTAGTAAATATTGTATGTTTTGGCACATTACGTATGTCCGTCAGTCTCACGGTTTTAAGACGCGTCTACTAGGGAGAGCACTAGCACATTGTAACGACCTAGATCCACCGCTAACAGACATTGTCCTCTTTAAGCTTTCTCTTTTGGACTTCCTCTCAAGGGGAGAAAACACGTCAACTAGGAGAAGGTTTCCACACCCTTATAAAAGGTGTTTTGTTCTCTTCCTCAAAACCAATGTGGGACATCACAATCCGCCCCCCTTTGAGCTCAACGTTCTCACTGGCACTCGTTCCTTTCTCCAATTGATGTAGGACCCCTACCAAACCCACCCCTTTGGAACCTAGCGTCCTTATTGGCACACTATCTCGTGTCTACCTCCTTTCGTGGAACAGCGAGAAGGCTGGCACATCGTCCGATGTCTGGCTCTGATATCATTTGTAATAGTCCAGATCTACCGCTAGGAGATATTGTCTTCTTTGGGCTTTCCTTTTCGGGGTTCCCCTCAAAACTTTAAAACGCGTCTACTAGGGGAAGGTTTACACACACAACCACATCCTTATAAAGGGTGTTTTGTTCTCCTCCCCAATCAATGTGGGACATCACACACACCGTCCGATGTCTAGCTCTAATACTATTTGTAACAACTCAAACCTACCGCTAGCAAATTTTGTCCAATTTTGCCCATTATTGTCGCCATTAACCTCACGGTTTTAAAATGCATCTATTAGGGAAATGTTTCCACACCCTTCTAAGAAATGTTTTATTCCCCTCTCCAATGGATGTGAGACCTCACAATCCACCCCTTTGAGGCCAATGTCCTCGCTCGCACATCATTCGGTGTCTGGCTCTGATACCATTTGTAACACTCCAAGCCCACACCTAATAAATATTGTCTGTCAGTAGATATTGTCTCTGTCTTTCATTTGAAGGGCTTCCTCTCAAATTTTAAACGTGTCTACCACTTAAAAGTTTATACATATTTATAAGAATGTTTAATTCTCTTCGGATCTTACCATGATTTAATAGAAAATCTCCATTAAAATAGAAATTTTGAACATAGTAATTAAGTTTTTTTTTTTTCGAAAATATGAACAAAAATAAATAAAATTTATCTTAAGAAAAAAACCTACTCAAAACAAAGAGTAGAATCTTCCTTTAAAACCCCTAATTCCATAAATAAATAAATTAATTAATTATTTTAAATTACCAATGAAAATTTTATCTTAATTCTAATAAAACAAGGATTGAAATAGGAGTTGAAAGATAGAAATGAGTGGAAAACTAAAACACCTTTTACTATAAATAAAACAATATTTAATTTAATATAAACAATGAAAAAAATGAGGTACCAATGTTTCTACAAGTTGAATAAAAAATCAAGATTTTGACAAATTTGTCAGAATTGGCCCAAGAAACTAATTTATTTATTTATTTATTTTAGTTTTGGATGAGAGATTTTTAATTTAAGTATAAATTTATTAGTTTCAGAATTTTAATTTCATTGAATTATAGTTTAAATTAAAAAGGTTAAAATTTATCTAATTAAATTAGAGATTAATATAAGTTTTAAAGGTGAGAACAAAAAAATCATATGACAATTTGGAATTCATCCTTGCCTTGTAAAATACTATTAGAATTCAAAGTTAGAAAAATCTTAATTTGAAATTGAGTCACGCTATTATATTAACAAAATATTTGAAAATTAAAAAAATAGAAAAATCTTAATTTGAAATTGAGTCACATTAAGGGCTATTATATTAACAAAATATTTGAAAATTAAAAAAAAAAAAAAAAAAAAAAAAAAAAAAAAAAAAAAAAAAAAAAAATCTTGTTATAACTTGACCATGATCAAAATTGTTTAGCTCGACCTTAGTCAACACATAGAAATACTGACCAAAGAAAACCTAAACAGGATTGTCTAGCCTGACCTCACAGTGGAAATACTGAGAATGTTTGCTTAATTCCACTACACGTAGATGTGTGAAAGTTCTCTATTTATAATCAAATAAATTACAAGGATTTAAAAATAGTAATAAATAGAAAGTGTCCCACATTGGTTAATTTAGGGATTGGTCATGAGTTTATAATCTAAGAATACACTCTCCATTGGTTTGAAACCTTTTCGGGAAGCCCAAAGCAAAGCCATGAGAGCTTGGAGTATCTAGAACATTTGCCAATTCACCCTCAAGATGAGCTTCATTAGATGAAACTTTCAACAACCTTGGTAGAGACAACAACCAAATTCAAAGAGAGGTCGAGAAACATTTTCTGGATGTCAACAACCTGGTGGTAGAGACAAAGAGAGGTGCTCAGCGACGATGCTCTGCCTTGACGAGAATATTCGCCTGCAAGATGAAGATGAGCGTCAGATTTGAACGAACGAGCAACGATGCTCTGCCTTGACGAGAATATAAACTTAGATTTGAAAAATTCAAAGAGGTTAAAGAGAGGTGCTCAGCGACGATGCTGCCTTGACGAGAATATGTCTAACCCATGAAGAGGGATCGTCACTCAGTCACGATAATGCTGCCTTGGCTCCGTGGCTCCGGCGAGAATATGTCAACCCAAGAAATAGAAGGGAAAATATAGAGAAGCAAGGAACAAAGACCATGTGCGTGGGCGAAGGAGCCAATTTTGGCGAGAAGGGTGGCGGTGACTTAATTGGCCAAAAAGGTAAATCTCCTCATAAGGTCGATGGGCTTATCGAGATTCCGTATATTTACGAAGAGAACGCTGATGAGGATCGGGAAGAAAATGAAAGAGGCTATGTTGGTTAACGGGAAGAAAATGAAAGAGGCTATGTTGGTTAACGGGAAAACCGATTGGGTTGGAAAAGGTGAGGTTGTATGTATAGAGTATGACGAAGGGTGATTTGGAGGTCAAAGAGTGTAGCCGAGAGTAATCAATAGGCTTTGCATGTGGCAGCCATCAAGGTTGCTAAAGAGAAAGAGCTTTGATAGCATGAGAATGCTTGCTTAATCCACCACATTTAAATGGTATGGGAAAGTTCTCTATGGAGATAATTCAACTAGAAAGACTTACAAGCTCATACTTACGCAACTTCGGTCTCGAACTCATGTTCAAAGGCTGTTGGAAGGCCCACCGGATTTTGTTTTAATTCGGGGCTTGCACCAAACGCAAGGCTACGTTGGCAACTCCACACCCATTCAAACATAATAACGTGGTTACGTGGCTTTTGAGCACAACCAATCAACAGGTTCCATTCTACACGTGTCATCTTTTGGATGGTCCACTTCTAACCCCAACTTTTCGCCCAAAAAAAAACAAAAAACAAAAAATAAAAGGCACATGACTTGCGTGTGACGGAAGATCGCCTCGCCACCATTTAGCGGTCTTGCAAGCGAAGCAATTAGTATTTGCGTTTTGCAAGTTTTAATGTCTTCGGCTTTCAAGTATTATGCAAAAACCATAATTAATTTTAGTAATTAATTTAAATTAAATTAAATTAGTCTCTTTAAGACAAGAGCACCACCGACAGTCACTAACCACAGTTAGCTCAGCTGACTCAATCTGCACCTCTTTGGGAATTCAGTTGCGCCAGATCATGACAAGCCACTTTGTCCCCATTCCTTTTGAAGGATGCTCTAATATTATAACTCTGTATTAAACTTTTTGTTCAAATTAAAAAAAAATTTAAAAAATGTAATTTTAATGTGAAAACCCGACTCAAGATAAGGACTAAACCATGGATCAAGATCAAAATTAAAAAATCCACTAAGTGGGTTACAACAATTATCCACAGATAATAAATTTCGACAAGAACCGACAAAAACACGAGAAAAAATTAGAAAGTTCTCGCTCTAAGTGCCATCCAATTACCTATGGTAACATAACTATAAGTAAATTCAAAAGAAATCTCCACCGTCCACCGTCCAAATTGAAAATCCTCGCTTCAAAAATATATTATTAAAATTTCAGCTCGAGCTACAATTCAACCTACAAATGGTTGGAAAAAGCTTAAACCAGCCAGCTTTTTTTCACCGAAAAGTTCAACATGCTCATATCTAGATCAGGGTTAAAAGGGTCAAAACCATCATACCTACGAGAGAGAGAACATTTCTTTTCTTTCTTTTTACCTCGGATAGTATTTAAATAAAACTAATATACTTATATCCTCACTTAACTTAAAAAAGGTCACACAGATATTCTAATTTTAAAAAACACTTTATAGTTTTATAAAGATGATTAAATGACATTGAGTGACACCTTTCCTTCGTCACCCATTTTTTAAAAGGTGAAAAATCATGAATTTTTGTTTCTTTTTGGTGAAACTAATTAATAATGGGAAGTAATTGAATTAGTTTGGTGACAGACAGCACGAAATAAATGGATGCTCCACTTTTTATTTTATTTTATTTTATTTTATTTTAATTATTTAATTTACCCTTTGAGTGCTTCATTCAATTTATATCATGATTGCTTCACTTAGAGGATACAAATCCTCCAATTAAGTCTTTTTTACAGCGACCCTAAATAAAAAGCAACGTTTCTAGAAAACAATGCGTTACTTGGTTCAATTTCATTATAATGTTACCACACAATCATTTAATTTTTTTATTTTAATTTATAATAATTTTTAATTTGATAACAATTGTATTTTATTTTTAATTGGGTCAAATTCATCCACGTCTATTTCTATTTAGTTCCATTATTAAATCCCAAAGTACGAGAAATACCCTAAAAAATACATTAAATTTTACGTCTATTTATTTGTAGAAGGGCCAAAGTGCAAATAGTGGAAGAATAAATCCTTCTAGCACCACGTTAAAATTTATGTCTATTTATATTTAGCTCCATGGTTGAAGGGCTAAAGTGCAAATAGTGGAAGAAGAAAGCCCCTTAAAAGAATACATTAAAACTTATATGTATTTATAGTTAGCTCCCTTACTAAAGGACTAAGGTGCAAATAGTGAAAAGAATAAATCCACTAGAAAGTACATTAAAATTTACATCCAAATTGGTCACGGCTTTAAAACCAATGGCATATATCCAAATCCAACACATGCCAGCGTTTCATTTTGCCATGCCACCATTAAGTAGGCAGACCCAAACCAAATCTGACCCAAGCCCCACCCATAAGCTCGACACGTGGCAATCTCTCCATAGAGAAATTGTCAACCCTTCTAAAAGACGGAACAACCCAACCAATAAAACCAACCCTTTTTACTAATCCAACCTTTTTGGTAAATTCACTCTCTCTCTCTATATATACACACAAAAGCCCCCTTCGTTTTTCAAACCCATCCTACTCATCTACCCATCAAACTTTCTTTTCTAGTCTATTCTTCAACCAAATGGACTGGACTAGACGCCACGTCATCGGACACGGCTCCTCCGCCACCGTCTTCCTTGCCACGGATTCTCCCTCCGGCGACGTTTTCGCCGTCAAATCCGCTGAGATTTCACACTCGCAATCTCTACAAACTGAGCAACAGTTTCTTTCTTCTTTAGCCTCTCCGTACGTAGTTTCTTATAAAGGGTATGAGGTCCGTAGAGAACAGAGTGGGGTCGTGATGTTCAATCTTTTCATGGAGTATTTGCCCAACGGTTCGCTTGCCGACGTAATTCGCCGCCGTGGAGGACGGCGGCTCGACGAGGCGGCAATCGGAATTTACACGCGGCAGTTACTACAAGGCCTACAGTACATTCATTCCAAAGGCTTGGTGCATTGCGACATTAAATCCCGAAACGTTTTGATCGGTCGAGACGGTGAGGCTAAATTGGCCGATTTCGGATGCGCCAAGTGGGCGAGCCAAACAGACTCAATTGGTGGCACGCCGCTGTTTATGGCACCAGAAGTGGCTCGTGGGGAGCACCAAGGGCTACCCTCTGACATTTGGTCCATTGGGTGTTCGGTCATCGAAATGGCCACCGGCGGCGGCTCACCTTGGCCGAAAACAACCAGCGACTCCGACCCAATTTCCGCTCTGTACCGAATTGGGTATTCCGGCGAGTCGCCGGAAATTCCATCCTTTTTATCCCACAAAGCAAAGGATTTTCTAGAGAAATGCTTAAGAATGAATCCAAATGAGAGATGGACAGCCAATCAGCTTCTAAATCACCCATTTGTGAGGGAATTCAATTCCTCCCCAAAGAAAATCCATGAAGTTCATTCGAATTCTCCAACGAGTATTCTAGAACAGGGCGTTTGGAGATCCATTGAAGAAAGTGAAATCAGAGAAGCCAAATCGTGTAGACCCAATAGTTGGGCAGCAGAGCAGATCCGACGGCTGTGGATGGCCTCAGGAGAGCCGAGCTGGAGAGATGATGAGACCTGGATTACAATTCGAAGACAGGACATTGGAAAAAGCAAAGAAGTCGGTGACGAAGGCGACACGATTGGTGGGTCAGAAGTGAAAGGCTGTAGTAATAATTGTTGGGGTGAGAAACAGAGAGGCGGTGGCGGCAAGGAGTGGTCTGAAACGGAATTCACACAGAATAACGGTGGTTTTAGCTGCAGAATTAGTAGGAATGATTTGGCAGACCATCGTTGTAAGAACATTATTAGTCTTGTACATAATAATAATAATAACAATAATAATAATAATCCTTTACCTTTTCATACTCATACACCTAAATTTCTTCATTTAATGGCAACTATATTATGAAATTTAATTCAATTCAATTCCTCTCTCCCTTTTCTTTTCCCACTTTACAAACTCATTTTTTGTTTATTTATTTATTGTTCGTACTATTATATTAATTAAAATTTTGGATCACAAGTTTCTAAGAAGAGAGACACGAAACTTTATTATAAATTAAGTTGCTTTATGAGCTCCCGAATAAATCAAACCAATAAAAAAAAACCCAAATAAAAAATTCAATTCATAGTTAAGAATTACCGACTCTTCTCAATAATTCTCAATATTGGCCGTAAATAAATAAACAAGTAAGAGAGAGTAGGAGAGAGGTGAGTTAGGGTTAATGAAGGAATGGCCTAACTCCCATCCACCGTCGGTTGAAGATTAAGAAGAGGCCATGCCATGTGTAACTTAAGTAATACTCATTGCCCAACATCCTATTTTGTCGCTTCTGTGCCTTCTTTTTTTTTTAATATTATTTTTATTTTATTTTGCCAAATGCTAACTCACCGTTGGTTGGCGTCCACGCATCTCCCCTGCCTCCACGTTGCCTTTATCAAGCCTTTTCTTTTACCTTTTAAATAATTTTATGGAGTTTCATGTTCCTTTCTTTTTAGCACTTTTCATTTTAAATACCCTAGTTTTCACGCAGCTAACTTTCAATACTTTTTTAATTCTTTTAAATAGCCTATATATTTTTAATTCATATATAGTAAATTCTTTAATTTTTTTTTTAAATTTATTCGTAAAATTTATAAATATATTAGACACAAAATTGAAAATAGAGAGAATTGGTCTATAAATATTACTTCAAATTCTTCTTAATTAATAAATGAGAATTTTGTTTTCTTATTAAAAAAAAACTGGATTTAAATATAATTTTTGGAATTAAATAAAGATTTTAAGGATAAAAATAATATGAGATTAAGAAGTCACGAGACTTATTTAGGGTGGTTGTGCGCCACCGCATACCATAAAACAATTCAAATATTAATCCATAGTATAGGGGAGTACCTACTAAGCATTCCATCATACATTGGACGGCTCCTGTTCTTCCACGTGGAGATCATCTGTTGGCTCTCTCTCTCTCCAAAAATTCTAAAATTATTCTATTTACGTCCACAATTCCATAATTATCTCATTTAAAAAAACGAAAGCAATTTCTTTTAATTATTCACACATAAATATTATAAAAAAAAAATCCATATTTAAATTTAATTAAACAATTTTTTTCTTTATGGAATTTCTTGCCATATAATTTTAAATAATTAAGTATTTATTTTCCTTCCCGTATTAATATTGTGGTAATTAAAACATTTAAAAGTTATATTGGACCCCTACAATTTATGAGCACTCAATTTTTCAATAAAATGTTACAATTAAAAGGTGCCCTTAAATTCATTAATTCATTGTGGGTATTGTCCTAGTTTTAGACTACTAAAGAATTAATCTACCCTAACGTATTAAAATTCACAATTATGCATTTTTTTTAATTTCTATAATAAATATTTAGAGTTATTTTGAAAATATGAAATTGAAATTAACTTATAAAACCATATTTATTATTTTTAGAATTTTCCCTAATATATATAAATTAATAATGACGTATAGGATTGGCTAATCATAATTCAATGAATAATTAATACGAAGGAATAATGGAATAATTATGTAGATTAATTACATTAGTTATTAAACAAATACCTTTTTATTTAATTTCTTGCATAAACATTTCCGGTTTCTAGTAATGTTTGACAGTAACGTTGAACTGAACGACGGTGTAGCCGTTGGGAATGTCGGTGACGACATTCTTACCGACAGCGAACCCTCTGGCAAACCGGAATTTGCCGGTCCCCGACACCACGCCCAGCTCTCTAACACCTTCGAATTGTCGGCTCGTTCCTTGAATTTCGATGCTGCTCCCATCCGTGAACCCAAGCGACAGAACCACCAGCAAATTCCTGCCATCCGCCGCCGCCACGGCGTATATGCCCTGAGCTCGCCCGAGCGCCGTCGAGTTGGGATTTGGGCCAGCGGTGATCGGGTCGTCGGTGACGAAGATGGTGCCGAATTCGGTGAAATTCCAGGGCTTCCCGGCGATTCCGGCGACTGGGATGAAAGTGGGGTTTGGGCCATTGGCGAAGTCCTGTAAGTAGAGAATCAGATTGGTCTGTTTCAGCTTGGCATTGGCGGCGGAAATGGCGGCCATTGTGAGAATCAGAACCAAAGATAGCTTGGTTATGAAGTGCGCAGCCATTTGGGGCGGAGGAAATTGAGAAAGAGAGTTGGATTGGATTGGATTGGATGGGAATTTTTTCGATTTTTCTTCATGTTGGGAGTTAGTTTTTATTGTGGTGAAAATGGTTTTATTTACAGCTGGATTTGGCGTTTCTTTTGTATAATATATGGTTAAAAGTATGGAATAGGTTTATGTAGTACATAACGTTTTAATTTAACCAAACTTTTTACATTAAATATTCACATATGATTGATAGTTTTAATTTCAAAATATGTTTTATTTGAAATTTTTAACAAAATATGGGTTAAATTTGAATTTTCTAATTTTTATTGTTGAATTTCATAGTCAATATATGTAACACATATATTTAAATTAATAATTTTTTAATCTAATATTGTTTCGTGTATCAAGTGGTCAAGCAATTGGGTGAAAGATTTAATTTCACTTCTCTCACTTCTCTCAAGTTTAGAGCTTTCTTTTCTTTTCTTTTGATTGTTTGAGATTTGGTTAAAGATTTTGTTAATGTTAAATTTTAATAATTTTAATTTTATTAATAAGTTAGATTATTAAAATAATTTTAACTAATTAAAATTTATTTTATAATAAATTTTATTAATGATGTACAATGTGTATTTAAAAATTTTAAAAATAAAAAAGTCGTACAAAAGTCATATTTATAAATCTTTGAAATAAAAGAAAAATTCTAAGACAAACAAAAAAGAATAAGGTAGCGAAAGACAAGCGAAGTGAAGTTATTTTCTATCTTTTAATGGTATTTGAAGATTCCGAACAAGTTTAGTGAGATGGGCAGATAGAACAGAACTCAGTAAGTTATAACTTTAGGGGAAGGTGTCTAAACTAATTCCCAATCTTCCTTCAAAGGTGGTGATGTAGGCTGATATTAGCCTTCAAAAATGGTGATGTAGGGGAAGGTGTCTAAACTAATTCCCGATCTTCCTTCAAAAGTGGTGATGTAGGCCGATATTAGCCTTCAAAAGTGGTGATGGTCGTATTCAAACTTCCTTCAAAAGTGGTGGATATTAGCCTTCAAAAGTGGTGATGGTCGAATTCAAATTGTAGTTGGAGGAATTAAGGTTATGAAATAGGGATGTTCATCTTTTGTAACAAGTAGACCCATGATAGGACTAATAGATGTTCATACGCTTACCCGAAAGTCAGATATCTATATCATGGTTGGCAATTCATTTGATGAAAAACGCAATTCATTTGATGAAAAACAAAAAAAAACAAAAGTAATGAACTTGAAACGTATGAGTTTTGAAAGAATTGTTAAGGTATCTATTTTGTGTATCGATAGGGTTTAGTTTTGTGTAATATTATCGATGAAGTGTTGAATGAATAGCCTTTAGCAAAATCAATTGGCATTGGATCACATTGTCATATACAATGTAATTACATTCAAAAGACAAACAAACAAACAACCAGCCATGGAAAGTAGTCTTAAATGGATTAAGCAAGCTCCCACTTTTAATATCCCACCTTAAATTTCATTTCACTGATACAGACAGACCCAGCTAACCAGAGGCACTTCGATTAAGAGCGAAGCATAAACACATGATTTTCTTAAGCCTCCAACGACACGATGCGAAAAGGATTGAACGACAGCCTCTAAATGCATTACAAGATTATGAAGAGCCATGTTCGATCGACTCCAACTGATTCCGAATATTCTGATTGTCCTCCAACAACCGATCGTACTCTAGCAGGTACTCCTCAGATTGCTTTCTTAAGGCTTCTGTTTCTGCTTCTGCAGCATTTGCTTCTTTTGTTTTTGCCTCAACTTCAGCTTCCAGTTTGGTTATTTTACTCCTCAAGGTAGTTGCCTCTTCTCCCAGGGATTTAAGCTTCTCCACGCTTGCATCCTCTGATGCTCGAATTTGCTTCTTTGCGACCTCCATGGTCTTTCGGAGCAGTCGAAGCTCTCGGATGTAGTGATGTAGTCTATCAATCATCAGGGCAAGGAACAACAAAAACCCTGCAGAACATACATGTTATATTCAAATCTAACATGAAGTACTCAAACTAACGGGAATGAACTGCAAAACTGCAAGCAAATGGAAAAACAAAACAAAATCTCTCGTAGAACAACAATAAGATATAGATTATCAAACAAAGAAAATCTGATAAGAACAACGAACTTAGGCAACATTTGATAATCATTCTTATAAACTTTACTTTCACCTATTGTTTTCATGCTCTATTATCTACTTTTTAAAAATGTTTTCAAAAACTAAGTTCTTCAAAACCTGATGCTGTTTTTGAACTTTGGTTTAGAATTCAAATGGGTTAATAAGAAAGGTCAAATAGGGCGTTCCGCTTCGAAATCGAAGGCCACATCACATCTGTTGACATCAACTATTAAGAATGATATTGTTTTCAAACGCTCCTACTGATTTTCCTTCAAATTACTCTGTTAATACATGATATGATGCACAAACAGGATTCCATCCCCATGAGTAAAGCACCAAATCCATTCGCATTTATAAGAACTTATCAGTAAACTCCGTTTACATGTAAAATTTTAAGCAATCTAGAAGCATGCGAGCCAGATTTTAGATTTAATACATTGTTCCTGACAGAAGAAAAAGCCCAAACGAAGTGGAGTGAACAGCAGCTCAATTTTAGGAAAATGTTTAATGTCACATCACAATCATTGAATCGAACAAGATCTCCCGCCCTTTCGTCGAATTCTGGAGTTAATTTGAAAGAAATGAATCCAGTTCTGTCGGTTCTAACTAGCCCAGTGACTAAAGCCAATCATTCTACAGATGCTTGTAAATCCAATAATTACGAAATCAATCAACGCTCGAAATCATAAATTAAGCATAACCAACACATTTCACCCTAAAATTGAGAGAGCCCTATCCAGAGAGCAAAGATGAAGGAAAACGGAAGTGGAGAAAGGATTAATTTAAAAATTACCCATGAGAGAAGCTTCAAGCAAGTGATTGGACATAAGGACCTGATCCGTGGGATTAACCTCACCAGCCTCAATCATCCGATTCTGGATCTTAACCATGCTATAGACGCTGGAAATAAGCACAACGAAGACAGTTCCGGCGATTGTTTGAACGACGATTGGGCCTTTTCCACGCTTAACACGATCCAAACTCAAGATCACAAGCTTCCTCAGAGGCGTCCTGAAGAGTAGAGTCAAAATCAGAGCCATTTCGGCTGCGATTACCGTGAACAGAAGCTGAATCATCCTCTATAAGATTCCGTCTGCAACAGAGCGCTTCTTCCAACCCTTTGTTAGTGGCGTTCGGTGTAATAACCTTGTTCAAACCTCGATAGAGAGATACCTTCCTCCTTTTTTTATTTTTATTTATTTATTTATTTTTTTTTTTTTTTTTTTTTTTTTTTTTTTTTTTTTTTTTTTTTGCTAGATTACAAATTTAGAAAAATTGGATGACTGTTTGACTCTAATTTTTTTTATTTTTTAAATTTCACAAATTTATTATTTACATGAAAAAAATTTAGAGTTTCAATTAGGACATAAATTACACCATCAAATCTTATAAATTTAGTTATAAATATTAATAATTAAAAAAATATTTCAATTGTTTTCTAATATTATTATAAAAAATTACTCCTAGATCTATATTTTATTTTTTAAAATATAGTACGAAGTAGATATTAATTAAGTTATAATCGCTTTCAATTAAATTAATCATGAATAATTTGCTTCATCCATGCAACATAAATTAATAGTGAATAGAAAATTAGATTAAATATTATAAAGAAAAATATTTTAAAGAATCTTAGAAAGAAAAGAGAAAATAATAAATAAATTAAATAAGAAATGATAACCTAAAAAGTTTGTAATAATGTTTCTATTGATATAATGGACCTGACTTAACAACTAAGATACATATTCCTTTATTTTAAGTGAAAATAAATTTAAAGCAGTGCAAAATAGGTAACTTCGTATTTCAATAAAACATGCCATTTTTTAAATATTGATTTTGATAATTATTTATCCGTTAAATTAATAAAAATATCTATTTTATCTAAACAAAAATATCTCTATAAACTTTTAAATTTTTTAATAATATACTTAAATTTTAAAAATTATATTTATAGTTAGTTTGGGATGAAATTCCCTTTAAAAAAAAAATTCATTAAAACCTTTAAAAAAATTCGAAAATATTCTTATCTCTGTTAAAAAATATTCATACAATTTTAAAATTAACATCAATTCTCTTTAGTTTTATAAATAAAAGTTCAAAAGATTTTTTTACGGAACAAAAACGGTCTATCAATATTTAATAGATTATCTCTAAATTTTTTAATGTTATATTTTAAAATTCATAATGTATTTTTAATTTTTTTTAAAAAGTTTAAAATTAGTTTTTAAAGTTAAAAAAAAAGTTTTTTTTTTTTTTTTTTAAGTCTTAAAAAAATGTATGAAAAGTTAAAAAGTTTTTAAGGATATTTTTAAAATAAACTTTAGTGACCAAAATTAATGGGATATATATATATATATATACCTCTATATATATATCTTAGAGAGCAAGTCTAAAGGTTATTTTTATTAATTTAGTTTTATTTATATTTTAAAAATCTATTAAGAAAATTCATGCCAAACTCCTCTTAGAGTAAAAATAGGAGTAAAATAGAAATACAGGGTCTAGACTATAAAATAGAATTCGCGCGGTTGAATTCTCTGGTTTTTGAGTTGGATATAAATGCTTCTCTTCCCTTTCGTACATTTCTTTCTAGTTATTGCGCTGTGCTCGATGCATTCGATTCACTTGCTCTGCAGGTATCTTCGTTATTTTATCTTCCTCGAAGTTTAGGATTAAATATGTTTGATGTTGCTGAGATCCGAGAGCTCCGAAAGCTTTTCCGTTTTTTCTTAGTTCGATTTATGTTTTGGAAAGTTTCGATCGAGGACGAAAAATACTCGTATATAAGATTCACATGTTTACTGCCTTCGAAAACTGTTGTATGAATAAAATGAAGAAAGTATAATGGCGATTGGAGATGAAAATTCCGAATATCTATCTTTCGTAAATTTTTTCGATTATGCAGAAATTGTACGGTTGGTTAAATGATATTTGTTTCGATTGTTCTCTCTGTTTTGTTCACTCCTGTTCTTTCGCGGCAGTGATTAGAAGCAATCTAACTGATCTAATATTGTTTGTGATGAAATTGTAACGCCTATTGTAATTTTGCTTCGAGCAGGTCAGATTTAAGGTGCGAACGAAATGAGTTTGCATTCACCGTATCGTCGCTTCTGCATTATGACGTACAATTGCTATCGTTGTCGTTGTTTAGTTGAAAATCATATGTTTTACGTTTTAGCGGAATGCGAGTAATCATATTTCCTCAGTTCTTGTAATTGGCGAACTAAGAGTCTGAGATCTCAATAACTAGGATATCTGTTCTCTGTATGTTTTACTCATTTCTGTGATGTTAGGATAGTCAGCGTACAAGGTTGGTCTACCAGCGTCAGCGACAACAAAGGCTTCAAAGAAGAGGTACCAAATTTCACATTGGCTATATTCTAAGATCCTTTCAGATTGTGGTTAGATCTGACTTGATTTACGAAATGTGACCGGAAATTTTGAAATAATATCGTTTTGATCTTCAACCATAATGGACATTTCGTATCTCTCTAAAATATTAAGGATAAAAGGACTCCTAAATGCCAGCTTGTATTAGGATTGGGGAAAACTTGTGCTCGTTATGGAAGAATAATAATGGTAATCGTCGTGATCATTCCATCCGCATCAGTTTTAGCTGAGCTATCGAACAGGATTTTACTTTAGCTCTAGAGTCCAGTTTGTTGTCTTGGCCTCTATATGTGAACATGAGATTACAGAAAGGCTCTTGGTATGAACACGGACATGCGCTCAAGCATGCACACACATTATGTGAACGTAGTTATATATTTACATGGTAATATTATATCATTGCGGACATTCTTTAATTGGAGATGACACTTTCTATTCTGAGCTCCAGCAATAGGCATTACTTAATAGGAAGGTTTTTCAACAAATTCAGAGTAACATCTTCGTTATCTGTGGGTGATTGCCGTCCTCTCATTTGTTGTACCTAATTCACTTAAATTTATCCATTTAGGTGGTGATGGTACGTTGCTCGATTATAAAAGCTCTAGGGCAATTCCAATCAAAATATATTGTGCAATCAAGTAGCAGATTGTTTTCTTATGATAATGGTAGAATTATTATAGAATACTTAACTTAGATTTTAGAATTTTATTATTCACGTGCTTTGATGCATGCTAGTTCAATCGAGTTTTAAATTGTTAGAAGTAAACTAACATTTTGCTTTGCAATTCTAGAAGCCCTAGTTCCTTTCACGGGCGAATTATGCTGGCTTCTGAATTCATGTTTAAAAATAATCTTATTTTGTGGAGTGGTGACAGTTTCGAAGTTGATGAGCCCATTTCTCAAATCGAGGCGACAAGGCTCTTTATTGTACCACTTGACTATGGTGAAGTTTTTCGTATTCCCACAAGGTCGCAGTGGACGTGAATCCAAAAGATGTGAATCTTAGTCGATTAGATTTTCTTCCATTTGCAATAAAATGTCTACTTTTTTCTTCAATACATCAAAGTAATCATAGTGATCTGTCTATTTCTCGTTATTCTCAAAGGCAATTGGTGTCAGTTAACTGCCGAGGAAGGTGAAACTTCGAAACCAAGCACAAGGATTGCTACTATTTCGAAATCGGGTGAATGGGTAGCTCAAGATGCTCAATTCGAAAAGGTTGAACTTCAGACAGCACTTCCAAAGCAGAGGGAAAATTATAAAAAAGAAATCCCTAAAGAAGCTTCATGTTCCAGGGCAAAACAAAGAACCGTCTCTCTCAAAATCAACTGCAAAAACACCTTCTCTTCCTCGGAAACCCACACTGCTCAAGAGCCCCAGCTTCCACCCAAGGACGGGAAAAATGAGTAAGCGTTTTGTATTTACATTAATCTCAAGAATTATTTAGTCTAACTCAATGTGGCAAGCAACTGTTCCTTTTCCTCTTGTATTTGTTTGCAGATTCCTATGTCGAGACTAAAAAAACATGTCGCAACTCGCTTGAGGGATTCATAATACCTAGATATAACATTTCATGCTCCAGGTCAAAGAAAAAAGTAGACGAGTATTCATACCCATGTCTCCCTACATTATTGCTTTGTGATCAACAATGCTAAAATCTGAATGGGTTTTCTGAACTTGATTCCATTTTCAACTTTTTCTTGATAGTCTCCTGAGCATCATCAAGCATTATGGTTCAGGTTTCATTCCTAGTTGACTTTTATGATGCAGGACCATCATGATGAAGTTCTGATCTGATTATAAAGACGATTTTGTCGAAAAACATGCGGTGAAATTAAGATTTATGTCAGCGTTTGAAACAGGGAGTACCAAGTGAGTTCAAGCAAGTAAAACTTACCTATCATGAATGAAAATTTTGGAACTTTTGTTCTTTCATTTGTCTTGTTTCTCAGGACTTACCTATCATGATTCTTTCTCAGGGTCTTGTTTTGTTGTGGTACCCGTCAATCGCAATGCTGAAACAATGAACTTTGCTGAGATAGAGAAAGAGATCAATGTTTTGTTCGCATATCCATCGAGGTCGTGACTTCAATGCTACGCCATCCATCTTTAATAGGTAATTCGCTCTCTTGATATATGTTCAGAAATTTCAGTAAAACATAGACGGAATGATCTTGGGGAATCAGTGGGTGGCACGTGAAACAAAATTTACAACCTTAGAGGTGCATAAAAGGATATAGCTGTACATTAATTAAAGAAATATATATTTTAACAATACCAGGATATTTTTTAGCCTAATTTTTTACTAGACTATTAATGAATTGAAGGAAGATAAAAGTAAAAAGTGTTATAATGACAAAGCACTCTGTATTACCCGCATGCACAGCTGCCCATTGGCGGTGAGTAGGGATTTACCAGGGATTTACGGATAACTTCCATAATTATAGAGATTGAATTTGGTTTGGATTAGCATCGTGGGTTGGATTAGGTTGGATTTGATTAATTTTTTTGAACCCTTGCTACGGTTCGGTTCCAGATTTATAGTACAAAAACCTCGAGTTAACTCGAATCTTATAATGCTAAATTCGTAATTTTTTGGTTGAGAGGTTTATTCTAGCTTTATAAAACTTTTTATTATTTGTTTAAATTTTTTTATATGTTATTATAAAACTTTTTATTATTTTGTTTAGCTTTTTTATATATTTAAATTTTGTGTGTCAATTATAAAAAATCTTAATATTTTATACCATTTTTAAATATGTGGTTAACACTATTGAATGTGGAAAATTTTTTCATCTCATCATTTTTTTTCTCATTAAATTTGGTGGAAAGTAAATAAATTTAAAATCAAAAGTGGTAAAAAATGTTTGGACCATTCTTGTGGCTAGTGTTTACACTAGCATTTGAATAACATTTAGTGTGGGTGAGAGATTCTTGTAGCTACTAAAATGGTAGAAACAAAATTGGATTTATAGAAAATTAATTTCAATAGATTTTGAAGATTTTGTTATAAAACTGAAACATGTAATTCTAAATTTTAACGTATTTATTATCCATTTTTGCAACATTATTATACCATTTTTATTCTGTTTCTCATCATTTATGGCCCTCCAATTTTGTTTCTCATCCATGCTAAGTAAGTCTATCATTATATTTTTCTATCTTTTATAGTTTTATGGTAACACTGCAACTATGGCAAGACAATTTTTGCTGTTTGATGGAGTTGATTAATTTATTTTTTGATTGATTATAAATTGATTTATGTTTTTTCGTGAATTTTTAATATCTTAAGATTTTATTGAATATTTATAAATGGTAAATAAATATATATTTTTTTAAACTCAACCAAATCCGAACCCATCCGAAAGGGTTGGTCAAAAAAATCTCCCAATCCAACCCAACCATATACACCCCTATCCATAAAACACCTCTATCTGTAAAAAAACCAAAACCACGTAGAAGGGCTGACGATGTTAATGACTTTTACATACCATCAAAAGATTAATCCATGTGAGGTAGAACGCCGGAACAAAGATGTTTCTGGGGAACGATACAAGAACAACCCTCCACATAATTCTATACGTTATGCAATTTCATAATAGTGTAAATTTGTTTTGCATCAATGGTTTTATTTATTCAATTTTGTTTTAAAATCATAATCCAAAATTAACAATGAATTTTTATGCAAATTCTGCATATTTTCATTTGGCAGTAAGTTATGTAGCACGAAAACAAAATAAACAAAAATCAAGCCTATACATTAATTAAATTCTAGGAAAAACAAACCCATTCAATAATTAATACTTTTAGCATCTGTTAAATGAATCTCCAGGCATTGGAGAACCTATGATCTTTTCCTTCCTTCCTTTTATGTGTGAATGAGAGAGAGAGACTTACGGGTAAAGTCGAAGCATATCATTGAACTAATGTTTCAACGTTTTGACTTTTCCTCGACATCTGGTCTGCTCCTTCGCAAACCACAAAATATGGAGACAACCAACTTAACAAACCTCCCGTAAATCAAAATGTATATGCTCCTCAAGCAAAATATGACCAGAAGCATTTACACAATCAAAATTTGGAATTAGATGTACAAAAGGGGTGTGAGTGTGTGCATGTACATGTACATAACCTTGGCTCTGTTCTCTTTTGTGCGCGCGCAGGTATTAGTTTTTGTTTTTTTTTTTTTTTCTTTCGTGAACTTGGTCAAATAAACAGAAATCTCATGTCGTCCAAGGTTAATTTTCCCAAGGCCTCGTTAGAGCGACCTACAGTTCTGCAAAGAGAGACATAGTGATTTTTTTTTTTTCTTTTTTTTTTTTTTTGTAAGATTAAAGGGCAGAGCACGTACCCTTCAAATACCAGTTCTTTTCTCTCTTGCAGCTTCAAAATCCTCTCCTCAATAGAGTTTTCAATAACGAATCTCGTAATTCTGTTAATGTCAAATGCATGTTAGTGCTGCCTTCAGGCAATGGCAGAAAATTACCAAATATTTTTTTATTTTATCAAAACACTGCACCTGATAGGCTTATATTGTCCAATTCGGTGGATTCTGTCTTGTGCTTGTCGTTCCACAGCAGGATTCCACCAAGGGTCCATGATGAACACCTAAAGTGAAGATCAAAGAAGGAAAATAGGGCGTATTCGTCACCGAAAATGAACAATTAATTTTATGAGCAAAAACATATTGTATAAACAGTGTGATAGCAGCATATATGCAACATAATAAGGTCATGACATGTGAATAATTAAATTGCATAGTCAATCGAAAGTGACTCCTTACATGCGATGCCACAGTGAGATTGAGAGCAATCCCTCCAGCTTTTAAGCTCATTAGAAAAATCTTGCAATCTGGATCGTCAATGAATCTCTTAATAGCATCATCTCTTTGTGGCAAGGACATGCTTCCAATTAGTTGAACGCAGGTAATACCAGACTGCAAAGGGTTCATTGCATGATATAAAACGACTAATTTTCTTTGGCTATAAGAAGACTCTACATGCTTACTACAACTCACCTTTGTTAAGGAATAGTTTATTAGATCCAAAAATGACGTGAATTGGCTAAAAACGATTCCTTTGGCAGATCCATCTCGTTCTAACATGAACCTGATTTCTTCTCTCTAGAGTAAAAAAAAAAAAAAAAAAGTCAAAGCGTGACCAAATAAATAAAACATGCTCTTTTCTTCATTCGCATCGAGGGATTAAAACATACAGGGAGTTTGAATAAAACGTACCAAAGCTTCTATTTTTGTGCTCGTCTGAAAATTCTCCAGTTGTATTCTGTTAAGGATACTTGTACATTTAAACCCCTTAATTGTATTTTTAATGGTTTGATCTCTACCAGCCAGATTTGTGCTAAAGTCAATGGTGAGCTTCTTTGAGCAAGAAGGACATGAGACAAGCTTCGAAAAATCATTGGCAAAACCAATAATGCAGGCCTTACAAAATGTGTGCTCGCAAGAGGTAACCTGTTAAAATAGAAGAGATTATTAAAGAGGCAGTAATTCGACTCTTCAGTTCCATTTCAACTAAATAGGTAATGTAGTGAAAAAAGAATGGTGGTTATTAAATCATTTACTGCTCTGAGTTTTTTATTTCCTATGCATTATTTCATTTGATTTTAAGGGGCAACACAAGGTAGTGATCAAATACAGGATGTTCGTTTTCAGCAACGTTCTCATGGATTTTCACTGCTATGAAAAGAAACCCGTCAACAACAGTCACTCATGAGTGATCATAAATAGATTCGCACACTACAGTACTTCAATAGATTAATTGACATTAGCTAGCACCAATATTCACAAAAGATGAACAATTGAATGCAAAAACATTCGATGAAAATTTAAATTATCAAACTGCGAAAACAAGGATAAAAGGAAAGGAAGGGAGAGTGGGGATTCACCAGAAACTCACCACAGGTTCTTCAGCTGGCTCATGACAAATTCCACATGCATGTTCGTTATTATTATCAGTACCATCAATGCTTCCACAACTTATGACATTAGTTCTAGAATATACAACGAGATATGGATGATTAACTGCCTGTAAAATCATGAGAAAAATGAATTAAATTTCATTAGCAGATAGACTTTCGCATGTTTTGTGGAACAAAGCTATTGGATAAAGAAGTTCTTGTTAATTGAGGTTAATACGATAAAATACATCTACTCAAAATAATAGTAGTAAGTTCTTTAATCATTTTATTTGAGTTTTGTTAAGATGCCGTCTCCAATATATCGTTGAAACTAAAATATATCTCAAAGGTCTTATCCAAAAAAACATATTTCTCAAAGAAATTCCCTTTAAATATTTTCAGCCCATACAGTAGACATGGATAACCTAATTTACATTTTGAACTTGCAAATCTAATGCTCAAAGAAAAATCAACAAGAAATTAGATTATCATAAAGTTCTTAACTCTGAAGACTTAAGAACTATCGACATAGATTTCTAAGCCTGACCAGAAGCCACAACAGACCTGTCTCAAGCGAATCAAAAGGTCAAATATGTGTGCATAATTACTCGTTGCTGTTCCTGCTGCCACGAAACTACAAAGAAAAAATTGCATCAAACAACTAATATGCGTGTTTTGTAAAACCAATTCTAAACTGATATGTTCATACTCGCTTCTTTCTCAATTCAAGTGCTGCTTCAGAGAATAGCTTTCTGAATAATCAACATTTTTATGAACATTGAATATGCATTCATAGTAGAAAACAAACATTAAAAAAAAAAGGGGAATAATAAGAAGTTGGTAGCAGTACTATAACACTACAATACTCACTCGAGTTAATTCACATCAACTGATTTTTTTTTCACAGTACAATAAAATTTTTCTTCCAAAAAATAATCAGCCATTCCATATGCACCCACAAAAGTATGTTCAACAATAGCTATCTAACGAAAAATAAAATCAAATTCAATCAAGACAAAAGAGTACAACTCAAAAGAGACAAATTACTAAATATTGAAACGCAAAAAGATGCATAAAAATTTAACCTGGTACAAAATAAACTGATAGTAAAGACTTGGAGAATAGTCTCAGCTTCAAAAGTAACCATTTTCTATATTATTATCTTTAAATTAAGTTCCAAATCTAGAAGACCTAAGACACTAATAAAACATTTTCCAAATTAGTCTCCACATTTGTAATTACTTGCATCATATGCACTAAAGGGACTTTAATCATAATATGGATCAAAGATACTTTAACAAACAGGCTCAAAAAGAATCAGTAGATATAGATGGTCACTCACGTATTAAATTTTGCTCGACTATCATTATACAATGATTCATAAAAATCTTCTTCTTGAATGTCAAGGGTATCTCGCCTAATTGAAACCTATGGGAAGATTGAGCAGAACTAAAATTAGTTTGCTCATCAATACGAACAAGTAACAAACATATGTATGTCCACTTACAATACTAGGAGGAAGAGCAAGATCAGCAGCTCTACCCTTTTTGGTGCGTCGTAGTACGATGCTACTTAAAATTTTATGCTTCAGCAATATCATACCTCTTTTAAACTCAGGACCTCTCCCAACATTTTGAATCCGTAGCGTAATATACTTCCAAACCAAACCATAATAATAAAGAACATAGTTTAACAATGTTACAGAGATATTGAAATGCCACACATTACAGAACTTACCTTGTTCCACCAGCAAAAATGCCGCATGCGTTTATGAGGGCAGTCAGGACAGCTAACAGAACTGAAATTTCCCATAAGGGTCAAACGTTACATCATATAAGAAAATTAATGAGTCCAAAAAACAAGGAAGCTGATAAAAAGATCAAATGAAAATTTACCAAGATTGCAGAACCATATCAAATCTAAACTAGTACCTGTGGTCGAGTGTTCTACAATCACAGTCCTTACAGAAGTAGAAAGAATAAGGCACAATTTGCAGGAAGCGAACCTGAGTGTACCAAAAAACACACATTACATTGAGAATGATCATTTTCCTCAAGGTAGACAATGTTCTAAACAAAGAAAAACTTACAAGAGAGTAAAGCTCCCCTACACGATTCTGGATAGGTGTGCCACTTAAAGCCCATCTAAATGAAGAAGAAATCGCAAGAACAGCTTTTGCAGTATTAGACTGTCTATCTTTTATGAAATGCGCCTATGTTTGCATAAAATTTTGTTATATTTCAACAGCAACCAGCACCAATCAAACTAAACTACTAATGGAAATAATAATTTATGCAATAATGTTTTTTGGAAAAAAGAAACAAACAAAAATGGTAATCGGCATCATAATTTTTATTTTACACTTGGGGTTGAATGAGAAACTTTGGTAGGTTTCCTTTTCCCTTGTTCTAACCCATTTTGGAGTTTGTTTCCACGGGGACTTACGAAGATCGGAAATATGGAAAACAACATATAGCAAACATATGAGAATACTAACTGGATGGGATTTTTATGTACTCGTAGGAAAATACAAAACACTTGAAGAGAGAAGAAAAGGGCAAAATGATCACGTTAAGATATAAGGAAATTGTGGGAGTTTGTTATAGCTATTATGACTTTAGCTTGAATGTAGAAGGGGTATGAAAGGGATAGGAATAGAAGATAGCGGCTAGCTAGGCGTTCTATTTTCTTCTTTGAAGCAAGGAAATTGGAGATGTGGAATATCTGCAAAAGAATACGTTGTATCCCTACTTCACCATCAATTTGCAGTGACAAAACAAATCTGTCTAGCATCACCCCCCCAAAAAAAATATATATATATACAAACAACAAACAAAAAGAAACCAGATGTTTTAGAATCTCACCTCATCCAAAATGACACGGTCCCATATTACAGAATGCAATATTGATTTCCCACAAGGGTTTTCATCATTCTCATGCTGCCCCATTGTCTGTCCAAAAGTGCTTTTCTGGCTGCCACTATTGTGAAAATTGTTGTTCTTATCTTTAGCAGATACTTCCCCTTTCGATAGTTGTGGCTGAATAGGCCTTTTTCTTATTTGCTTAGCCTGCTTCTCTGTTTTGACAGCATCAGGACCACAAATGTACTTCAAGTGAATCTTCAAATTCTTCTTATAAAATAGTTTACTACAGTAAGGGCACCTATCCTTGGGAGGCATCAAATGTTTCCTGTATTCAGCCTCAACGACAGAGTATGTTGTAATAACAAAATCAAATTCAAATAAAGTCTCAAGACTCTGTGCTCGTTTTGGACCATGAAACACGTGCACCTTGTTACTTCCCTTTAATGTGAAACGATCAATCTCACTTACCCACTGGCTTACAGCAATCACGGGACATACCACAAGTGTTGCTTTGATCAAAGGGAAGTCCTTGGAAGAACTTGGGTATGGGGAGGGTCTCCTTAGTCCAGCTCCAGATAACTCACGTTTAGCAAGTACCAGGGCAATTGCTTGGATGGTTTTTCCCATTCCCATTTCATCTGCAAGTATCCCACCTCTAACTGGAGAATCTTCCTGCTTCAGTGCCCAAGCTAGCCACTCTTTCTGATACCGCAGAAGGGGCATCGTAAGTGCAGAGGGTGTTTCAACAGCTTCAGTCAATACTTCATTTTGACTAGCCATATCAAAATCTTTTTCAATGTTTTCATCGATCCATCTCTCATGTTCTTCCGCCCAGACATCCCACAAAAGGATAGGTTTTTGCTTTTTCTTTCTTGAGTACTTGGCCTTTGGCTTCCCTATATCAACCACACCCTGGACGGGGATAACTTCTGGTGTCTGATTGTGTGGGTTTCCATCATTACCTACTTTTCTCCACACTTCCTGCTCGATGCTAGGCCCCTCCTCTTTAATACCTTTTCTCTTTTTCTTTGCTCTAGACTTCTTTGTTGAAGGCTCGCAAAAGTCCTCAGAACTCGAGGAAGGATCTGCCCAGTTAAAAGTGTTAACTCGTGGTTTAACGTCCAAAGCCATTTCCCAGTTATTTTCTTTGTTCATGACGAAATAACATGTCAGGTAAACAAGTAAAACCTAAGGCATTGTAGGCAATGGTAACGTGAACAAAAGTATATTATGGAAGAGATTGTTAGAGGGAAGAGTTCGCTTAACTGAACAAACATGCACATACACCATTGAAACGAGAGAGAGAGAAAGTGTAAAGAAATATTTGACACCAGACTGAACCAGCTTGAGACATATTTTCTTACCAGGATTACCGTAATTAAACATCTACAGGGCAAAAAAACACAATACCTTCACTTTCACTGTCAGAAAAAAGAGACGACACGTCTATATCATCAGAAGCATCACCGTCTGCGTTTCCTGCTCCAATAACATAACAATTTAACCACACAGCTATTTCACAATTCATCGATCTTCCCCCCAAAAACAGTGGGAAGAAGAGGAAACAAAGAACGCAGAACACAGAATGTGCAGAGTTCGAGTATTTCTAGCCCGAAAAACGCATGACATCTCAATAGAACTTCCTCCGCCACAACAGTATCAGAAAAACCAAAACATTTTTTTGAAAACCACGCTGAACGCAATCTTAAATCCTACCGTGCCGCAATCGAGTTAAAATCATCGCCGTACTTCCTTGTTTGGCGACGATCGCTTATTTCCAGTTCAAGAAGTTCACAACGTCTCGACAGAACTTCCACCGGCACAGAACTATCAAATAACTCAAGCACTTCATTTCAAAAATACGCCAAACGTAATCTTAAATCCTATAAGGCCACAATGGACTAATTACAGCAATACCTCGTCGTTTTCTAGCCAATTGAACATTAGGTTTTCAGTAAACACAATTCTTTACAAATACACAGCATGCGACAAATAAAGAGGCGCAAAATCGAAACCGTACCTTGGATCAAAATATTGGAGGTCGGTTTACGAGGACGAAGCTTCATCGGAACCACGAAACGCTGCGATTTTCTTCTCTTCTATTCTCCGCTTCGGACGATGACGCACGCTTGAGCAGCAGGAAGAAGACGAAGAAGTAGGCCTAGAAGCGACAGCGCAGCTTTGCAGTGAAAAACGACCTGCAGCGAAAGCAAAGTACGGAGAACAAAATAAAAATGGGGAATGTGATGCGTTGAAGTTGAATGACTGTGATATGATCGGCGGGAAAGGGGTGGTTATAATTACTGTGATTGCGGGCGCGAAAACCCATGATATGAGTTGCGGGGACCACCAAACGCTGCGTTTCACGTTCATTCCCAGAAGACGCCTAAAACTCCCCCAACAAGCTATTTTGGTAAATGTTTGTATGCTTATTTACTTCGGCGGCTTGGCCACTTCAACGTGACTTACGTCGTCACGTGAAATATTTGATGTTGGAATAATTTATTTTATTAAAAAAAAGTGCAATAATTAATTACCAACTTTTTCCTATAAATTTGTAGTGAAAATCTGTTTTACCGTCTTGAGGTGAAGCTTGAAAAAGGAAAGCTCAAAGAGGACAATATCTGCTAACGGGAGATTTTAGTCTTTATAAATGATATCAGAGTTAGACACCGAACAAAGTGTCAGCCTTGTCGTTGTTCCCCGAAAGGGTAGACACGAGGCGGTGTGCTAGTAAGGATGCTGGACCCCAAGGGGGCGAATTTGGGGACAGTCACATTGATTGAAGAAAGGAAATAGTGTCAGCGAGGACGCTGGGTCTCGAAGGGGGGTGGATCCAGGGGTAGACACGAGGCGGCCAATAAGGACGCTGGCCCCAAATGAGGTGGCTTTGGGGGTGGTCCTACATCGATTGGAGGAAGGAAAGAACTCCAATGAGAACGTTGGCTCCAAAGGAGGGTGGATTGTGATGTCTTATATTGATTGGGGGAGGATAACAAACCGGGTGTGGAAACCTTCCCGAGCAGGCCTTTTAAAGCCCACCATTTATTATTGTTTAGCTTAATCACTAATTCTTTTGGACACAAAGTTCTTAAATACTTTCAAAATACTCCAGACTAAAATTTATAATTTAATTTGGATGAATGTTGTTTTATTTTCTTTTTCCTCGTAAATTTTGAATTAATGTTGTTTTGATTTTGCCTCGAAGGTCTAGTACCCATTACCCAAGAAGATAGTTGTTCTCACTTGTATAACATAGTTAAAAGGAACAATAAATATTTACTTAAACGAACAAATCACTTTTATTTTGAAACAGGAAGCAACTTTCACAACAAAGAGACTAAACCAGAAGCTTTTATTGAAAACAATCCAATGAAAATAAGAACATCATCAGCCAAAGGACATGATGACCACTACAAAGTTAAGCATTTGAAGTTTCAATAGGGGAACTCTTCCAAGAACAGCAAAATGTTCTCTCTGCTCTGCTATATGATCACACTGCTGCAGGAGGAGCGACCAGACCGGGAGAATTGCCCACGCTGATCTTGCTCTCCCGGGTCATCACCACCTCGACAAGGCCACGATAGCACATAGCTTGAACTCAAGAGTAGCAGCATAAATGAGAAAGCAGGCAAATGGCTACAATAAATTATGCAAATCCCAAGTCCAAACTAGCCATTCTGTTTATCTTTGTTTTGTAAAAGAAAAGAAGTCTAGAGAAAGTTGTTTGTCTCATGAAATATGAATATTGGCATCGTTCTTAGACCATCTTTTTTGCCAGAAGAAAGGAATGCCTCATGTTGAGCTACTCTACCTGCACCTATGGACAATAATTAGCCAATGTACTGTACAAGCAACTATTTGAAGTTCATATATATATATATAACAATGATCTAAATGAAAGAAATCTTGTTCTGATTTCTGAACTTTGGTTCTTATTCGTCCCAATCCTTAAATTCGACACAAAATTGCTTGGCTCAATGCTCTTTAATTTGTACTTCGACAGAAATCTTCTACACGAATTGAAGAAAACCAAATGATACAGACATTTTAAGCAGCAACGAATCAAATAATTGTTTCCGAACAGCCGAAAGGAAGAAAATAAAATTCCATTTACAGCAGAACAAATTGTTGAACTGAGAAGGATAAAAAATAGCTAAACATCAGAGATCGGAGCAATAAATCTCAGTCCAAAATCCACACACCTTTGGACATCGTATCTTAGTCAAGATTAGGGCATTTGGCTCCCGAGGATGGATTCAAATAGAGTTTATATGCATTTTTATAGGAAAAGACTCGGAGAAAGCTAATTATTAGGTTCAAATGATGAAATCTCCAAACAGATCAATCCGAAACAAAATCTTAATTCCATATGATATGAACACTTTAATTTCCTGAGCCAAACCGTCGCGATCTTCCTTTCCACTTTAAGAACAAAATAAATAATTGAAAGAGGAACAAAAGAACTAGATTCAAACAGTAGATGCGAGGATTTCAGCATTCAAACAGGATATCTTAAAAAATCATATCAAATGTACTAGGATTTTCAGATACTTTGATCTTATTTAATAGAGCAAAAAAGGGAAGATAGAAAATACCTCATTGTGGCGAGAAGAAGAAGAAGAAGAAGAAATGATCAGTGAATTTTTTTCTCCTGAAACTTGTTTCGATGGATCTAAATAAAAGGGGAATGGGGTCTGAGGTTCAGTGAACCTGGTCGTGGTCTGTGACTGTACGGCCACAATAGCCAACGTCCGATGGGAATGTTCTTCGGTGGGTGTATTTTTTAAGCTATTCCCCATACATCTTAGACCTATTTTAATTTTTTAAAAAAAAGAATTGGAATCTTTTAATAGTCTTAGAAAACAAATTTTAATATTTTGTCCAACAAATCCATTAATTTTAAAAATTATTCTAACACGTGAAAAGTTTATTTTATATTTTTGAAGTTTAGAAATTTATGGGAAAAAAAATTTAATTAATTTATTAAAATATAATATTAAGTACTAAACTTGTAATTTAATTAAATTATTTTATTTTTTTTTATGTAAAGATATTATTTTTGTAACGCCCCTAATTTTTTTAGATAATGGTAGAAATTTATAATAAATGCTCTTAAAATGAAGTCATGCTCTCATATTTAATTTTAAAATAAAAAGATATAAATAACATAATTTTTAAACCAGAAGTAAAATGCAATAAAATACTTATCGACTACTACTGCAATTCAATATGATCTACTCTCCTATCATGATCTATCTTAACTTCATGGTCTTTTCGGCATTCTATCTGGGAGTTTTACCATAGAGCCAGACACTAGGCGATGTGCTAACGAAAAGATTGAATTCCGATGAGGGGTGGACATCAGTGAGTACACACAGCTGATAAGAATATGTGTTCCATTTTGATATAAATGATCTCGCTATATCTCCATCTCAGCTGAACCCATCCATATGAAAGCATTATGAGCTCTAAAACCACACCCATCAATAGAATCATCAAGCATTTACAGTTTCAACAGAGTTGCCCTGATACACCAAACGAAACCCTTCGTCGAGCATCGTCTAATCATAACAAGTCCTTCATAAATTCAAGGATTAATGTGTCTCGGACGATGAAGAACAGCCCAAGAAGAACAACGAGCATTGTCTAATCATAACAAGTCCTTTATAAATTCAAGGTTTAACGTGTCTCGGACGATGAGGAACAGCCCAAGAAGTACAACAACCATGATCCCAGACGACATGATTCGCTGCTCAAGTTCTAGAGGCAACTTCCTCCCGCCCCTAGCAGCCTCAATGAGGATCAAGGCCAACGAGCCGCCATCCAAAGCAGGCAAGGGAAGAAGGTTTATAACAGCAAGGTTAATATTAAGCACAGCTGCAAATTGATAGAGCCCATCAATGTTGGACCTTGCAACTTCTGCACCAACAGCAATAATGGCCACAGGACCAGAAACCTTACTGGCTGACTGAGAGAAATTCAGAACAGTTTGTTTCAAGCTATCAAGAACATTATATGACAGACCCAAAAATTCCTTTCTAGAATAGCTAAAAGCCTCCAAGAAATTCTTCGCTACAAGTTTTGAAATCTTTACATTAGGCGAAAGCTGAACCCCAATTCGCCCTGTTCCATCAAAACTCTCATCTGGAGTGACCCCAATTTCAAGATCCTGTTGCCCTCTTTCAACTTTGAGAAGAACAGTTCTATTGGGGCTTCTTTTAATTGTCTCAACAAGCTCAGAAACGGCTGTGGGACCCAATTTTGGCAGTTCATTTCCATTAACAGCAAGAATCACATCCCCTGGAAGCAGCCCATCTCGAGAAGCAGCCGAAAGGGTTCGAACCTCAGGCACAAGCACGCCGGGAAAGGGCTCTTGAACCGGCAAACCAACCGACGAGACTTGGATTAAGATGATTATGTATGCGAATATTATATTGGCAATAACACCAGCAGAAATCACTAATACTCTATCCAATATAGGTCTATTTTTAAGCAAATTTTCGTCATCCATTGGAATATCGCTATCAGGATCATTATCAGGAAAACCCACAAATCCACCAAGAGGAAAAGCCCTAATGGAGTATTCTACGTTGTTTTTGTTGAATTTTGCAAGAATTGGACCAAAACCAATTGCAAATTTACTTACATGGATACCCTGTAGACAAGCGGCGAGGAAGTGGCCACTCTCGTGAACGACAATGATGGCCGTCAACACAGCCGCCGCCTCGAGTACCGACTGAGCACTTCCAATATCGATTCCGGCAAAAGCCCACAGCCTGAAATCGCCGCTCCTCCGACATGGGATTTTGCTCTTTTCCCAGAAGATTTGGTGTCTGTTCTTGAAACTGAGCTCCGATGACGTTAAAGAATGACATAATGAAGAAGAAAATTGGGATTTAGAGAAGTGGGTTCTGTACTTGACTGAAAAATCTGAGAAGGGTGACTTCGAATTGGCAAATTTAATGACTGAATAAGAAGAGGAAGAGAGATTTAATAGCATGATGTTTGAAAGTTGGGTAAGGGTTATCAGGATCGACGGAGATTTAGAGAGAAATAGAGGAAGGGGGAAGAATTGGAGAAGAAATAGGTTTCGGATAACACCTTTTTCAAATTTGTGGAGGGGAATTTAGGGAGATTCATGATATTTGAGAGACTCACTCGCCTGCCGGTTCGAACGTGCGATCCCAAAATTCAAAATTCAAAAAAAAAAAAAAAAATCTAAAATTTGTATCATATTTATAAGTCACAACGTCATCCAATCCACTCTCAAAAGAGCCCATTTCTCCAATTGATGCTTGTCAGGTTCAGCGAGGAGCCTGTTCTTCGAATGAGGATAGAAATGAGGCGGTGTGCCAGTAAAGACGAAACACCCACATTGATTGGGGAAGAGAACGAAACATCTATTATAAAGGTGTGGAAACCCTTCTCTAACCAATACATTTTAAAGTTTTGAGAGAAGCCCGAAACCGAAAGCACAAAGAGGGTGAGGGTTTTTTATTCTTGAAATGCTTACTACAAGTTCTATGAACTCATAACAACAAGAAGCATAATTAAGCAGTTTTATCCAAACTAAGAAACAAGAAGGGTGTGATTTGGAAAGTGGTGTGGGTGTGGCGGAGGAGAAGGCGAGAGGATGGAGTGAGTCTGTATTTCACGTCTTCTTCCTCGCTGGCATCAAAGAAGCCAGAATGGACGAGGAGGCGCATGAGGCGGCCAAGGTATTGAGCCTTTGAAGGTTGAATACGGAGCGCCGCCACTAAATCGGAGAGGGTCATGGGTTGGGCGTGGCTATGGATAACATCCGGTATGCCCAATTCAACAGCACATTTAAGAGCCATGGAGTTCATAAATTTCAAAACATGGTTCCAAACATGAGCTTGAGATTGAAGCAACTCATCCAGCTTCCCTTCCATCTAGATTTTGTTAATTGTGTGTTGCAGAATCCATCATGTGTTCGTACTCTCATATTTAAATTCTCCAATTCGATCTAATATCTTTATTCTATAATTATAATTGATTAAGAAATCTTTCAACCCATAATGCTATTTTTTTTAGATTAAATTATACATGGCTACTCTCTTAAATGTTAGTTAGATTATAAATATAATTAAAAGTTTTAGGTCCCTCATTTAATTACTTTGAGCCAAGATATTGGCACGACTCAATCAAAAAACACACCGCTAAATAATTAATAATTTTCCAAAATGCATCATTTTTCTTTTAACCACCTTCATCTAATTTCAAAACTCATCTTCCGCCATAAACCTCTTCATTTCATCCACGCGCCACCCTCCCTTTCAAACGCGCCGCCACTTCTCCCTTCTACAAGAAGACTATTAAATTTTGCGGATGCAAGCTCATAATTAAATTTAATTCTTTTTCTTCCCTTTTATAAGCAAGAATTGTCTCATTAATATATATTTTATTTGATGAATTACATTTTTAAAATTTAATTAATATTCTCAAAATAAGATATCAATTATCATTCTAACGGGAGATAATTTTAATTTTCACGGATAGTTCAATACAATATATCTTTATCAAATCAACTTTTATTCACATTTTAATTAAATGGTTCAAATCTATAACAATTTTTACCTTTATGATTAAATTATAAATTGAATTCATGAAATTTTTAATTTATTTTTTTTTATTTTTTTTTATTTTTTTTTCTCGACTTAAATGGTGATAAATTCGAATCTCTAATAAGTAGGTTTTAATTAATTTAATTAAAGTTGTGCGGAAAATATTATTAAGCATTAAAAGTCTTTAATGTAAAGTGTTTAAACTTTAAAATATTATATAAATTACGTTTAAAATTTAATTTTGTATTTAATAGATTTTTAAATATTTTTTTTTTTGTACAGTAGTTAATGAGTTGTTGAATTATAACCTTAATTGAATGGTTAGATATTTAAATATGAATGTGACAAATATTATCAAATATAATAAACTTCGAGATATATTTTAAAGCCAAATGACAATTAAAGGTTAATAATTTTATTTATAATTATTTTGGCTTCTTGAACTTGAAAATGACGATATCCTCGGCTCTTTCTGTTGTCATCATTTCAAAAAAAATAAAAAATAATAATAATAATAATAAAATGAAATAACTCGAAGAAATAATAAATAAAATAGAGACAGCTCAACCTATTCTAATCAAACCATTAAATATATGAAGGTCTAATTATATTTATAAATATTATAACATTAGTGCTACCAGTCACATCATAATATAAGACCTAGTTTTGGCACATTAAAATATTTATTTTTAAATATTTTTATTTCACTTTTTAGACCTTTATAAAATTATTTAATTCTAATTAGGTAACCCAACTAATTGTGCATCAAATATTAATATACCTTTTTATCTCTTTTTTTTTTTTACTTTTAGAAATAGGAAGCAACTTTATAGAATTGTTGCGATATGGTTGAAAATTTTGGTTTTGTCCATAATATTTTTTTTAATTTAAAAAAAAACATATTTATCATAGAAATAAAACTTAGTGTTTGGTTAATTAAGGTCAAATGCATAGAGGAAATTCAAATTGAAATTAAGAAATTTTTAATATTTAAATTAGATATGGTTGAATATTCACCTGAATTATATATATAACATAAAAAGATTTATTTTGACTTTAAAAAATTCTATTTCAATATCTAAATTTTAGTAAAATAATTATTTATTATAACCTTTTAATTTTTATAATGCTTATTTTAGCATAAGCAAATTTAAATTAATTTTATATCTGTAAATCTAAGAATTAAATTTATGTTGGTTAGGATTAAAAAAAATTATAAAAATAAAAAAATCAAAAGTAATTGATTTGTTTAGTATAAATTTAAATTTTATAACGAATTTTCGAATAGATTTATAAATTTTGAAAGATAAATAGTGGAAATAATTAAATAGTAATATTTGGCGCAGAAAGTAAGGCAGGCCGTGGAAGGTAGGTGTAAAGGAGTAGATACAGCTTGGAATTTGGAAACCGACTAAAGTCGACGACCCCACAACGCCATTACTACCCGCTCTGCACACTCTTCATCTTCAAGTCTCTGTGTCTCTCTCTGTCAATCCTCATTCCTCTGGGCCCCGTCTTACCAATCTCCTTCTCAACTTCAATTTCAAGGTATTTTTCACTCCCTCCGATCGATTCGAATCCAATAGCATCGCGCTTTCTTTTTCTGTTTTTGAATTCTATTTGCATACGTTTTTCCTTCGTTGAGCTTCCTCCTTCCGATTTCTTCAGTTTGATTTGATTGTTGATTGTTGATTGTTGATTGTTCCTTGATTTTTGGTGGGCGTTTCTGTCTTGTGAAGCTGTATGTATATCCGATTCGATCGTTGAATACGACGTTTGCACCGTAATTTGTTGTTTTTTGGTTGATTAATTTGAATCTGGTGTCTGTTTGGTTTGATTTTTCGATCCTGAAAGGGATTTTAGGGCTTTGCTGCTCAGTTGTTTGATTAATCAAGAAAATGATTCATATCTGTTTTGCTGCCAATGCTCTGATCATCTGATGAAAGTGACTTTGATCCACTGTGGTTTCTTACAAAAGGATCGTCTCGACTTTTTATTTTTTTCCTTTTCTCAATGCTTTATGGCCAGATTCTTGAGGGACACTACATGTTTGGTTTTGTCCAAAAAACAGTATCGAAATTTGGATTCATAGAATCTATAGTTAATTTGTGAGTTTATTTTTTCAATGTTACAGGTGTCTTGTGAAATGGTTTTACAATAATCTATAAGATAAACAAATACACATTATAAGATACATGAATTTCATATAATGCAAGTTCAATTTCACAAATTCAATCACAAGTCAAACGCCTCGGTTATGTTTCTTCTTCGCCAAGATTGTCTTTAGTTTTGTGTCATGCTCAATGATTTCTTGAAAATGATAGTTGAAAATGGGAACCAAAGCACCAAGCTGGGCTGATCAGTGGGGTTCAGGAGATTATGGAGTTGAAGACGATGACAACACGGCAATGACGAAGAAAGGGAGCAGCAATGGCAATAGTAGCAAGAAGATGGCAGAGGTAAAGGCAGCAGCCTCAGCTGGATTTGTGAAGGCCAAGTCTGCTGCAGCAGTTGGTGCTCAAAAAGTGAAATCTGGAACTTCAGTAGGCATCAAATGGGTGAAGAATCAGTACCAGAAAAAGGTCTCCAAATGACTCAAAATGCTTGAGTTCTCCCTTATCAAACTTTTTTTTTTTTTTTTTTTTTTTTTTTTTTTTTTTTTTTTTTTTTTTTTTTTTTTTTTTTTTTTTTTTTTTTTTTTTTTTTTTTTTTTTTTTTTTTTTTTTTTTTTTTTTTTTGCTTTATCATAAATTGTAGTCTGGATATTTTTGTAGTATTGTAGTCTGGATATCACAGTTTAGACATCATATCACAAATTGCTATGAATTCCCATTATTTACAACATGACTTTTGAATACCGCAAATAGGATGGTTTTAGTTAGTTAAAATAAAACTATACAGAAAAGCTTTGCATTTGAAGGGATAACACATGGGGGTGAGGNGAATAAACAAGAAGAGCAAATATGATCCTTTCTCCTTCCCATTTCATGTAGACGTTTCGAGTCTGTGTTTCAGCACGCCCCAAACGTGTTTTCCCCGCTGTAGGTCATATAAAGGAAACCATCTTCATCTTTGTTTTCCTCATAAATTGCAGACATCATAGCAGCTGCAGACCGACCGAACAAACGTTTAGAACCAGAAAAATGATATATGTGAAGATTATACACAAAATATGATAAGAACACATTCCCAAAGTAAAAATTATATTTTTGTTCTCACCGGTAGGGGGCAAAATATTCTTCACAAAAATGAAGATGGCCTTCTCAGGGCTGAGCTTGATCCTCTTTCGGACCACGTACACGAACTGACCCACAGTTAAATCAGCAGGGACTAAATATCTGCAATCAATAAGGACAGTAACATAACTTTTCTATAGATAACAGTCTTTGTAAGTACTTATAAACATGTTCTAAATAGGCTCTAAATCCTTCACAAAAGTTTTGGTCATCATCGGTTTTCTTCACCCATAGCTCATCTAGTTATCAAATCCTTGCAACGCTTCTCGATATTATCCATTTTAAGGTTCAGAAACATAGCTTTTAGACCTTCAAACAGCATCATTCTTCTACTACACAATCTATACTCATTTTCGCTACTCAAAACAAAAATAGAGATCTATCAATCCACGTCCCCCACTAGCCTCCACTAGCCAACGTTGTTTTGAACATATTGATATTCCATTCAATCTCAATGAGGTTACATTTGATTCCTTTGAACGTGATACGGAGATTAAAATAGCTAGAACATCGTTAACCCAAGAAAACGTTCAAAAGTACAAACAACAATATAAATAACTTCATATTGACCTCCGACTCAATAAGACAAGTCATACAACACTTGAAAGACCTATTCTTTTTGGATAACAAACCAAACTTCCATAGAAAAAATGAAGCAATACAAGGGCATACAAGAAACAAGCTTCAGAAAAGCAGGAGTTCAATACTAACTACAAAAAGAACTCCGGTCCAAAACAACTAGACGAATGTCATAGTTACAAAATGGTCTAGTGACCAATGCTCAAGAAACACTAAACCTCGAAAAACGTTCGCAATACTGAAAACATTCATACGTTGCCATCAATCTAGAACACTATAAAGAACAGCATTTCAGCATTCACAAAATTCGCTCGTTTTACTTCCAATTTGAAAGATACTTATAGATTTGGAAAGCACATCAAAGTAACAAGTTAATCCTAAATAAAATCGAAACGCTATTGAGTAAGAAAACAGAGAGCAACTTACTTTTTTTTATCAATTTCTGGAACATCACTCTTTTCAGCCCTTTCCACGATCACCTAAACCAGTTAACCGACAGACATTAAAACAAGTACGTATTACAAAAACAATCAAACAATCGCAAGCATTCATAAATTACAAAGATCATACCGGAATTCTGTCAGGATACTTCTCTCGGATCCTAGCAGATTCAACCTGCCTTCTTTCTGGAATGTTCAGAATGTCAATTCAAATTTCAAGTTAATTTCTTATCTTCCCTAGAGTTTATTCGAGAGTATGAATATCAGGCCAAGGTTATTTCCATTTGATCTGGTAGATTACAATAAACATTCTAAAAAAAAACTCCCTCATACAACTTGATCGATTGTTTTAATCTTCTGTTGTTCATCATGAAACATAAGTATTTGGGTTTGAATCTCATCAATCAAATTAATATACAAACCCATATGTAATGGGGAGGGTTAAGAATACATATAAAACATTACGCCTCTCCTAATTATGAGATTTGGGCTTAGCAAGTGATTTAACATCGCAATTAAAACTCAATACTCTTATCAATGAATACTAAAGACCCCCACCAGAACACAGATTGATCCTTTCATAACCAAACATCCCGAGATCAGAACTCAACCATTCGGTGAATCCATAATTACAAGAAACAAAAGGATAAACCCAATCATTTCGACTATGACGTATGAGGAATTAAATGAATCAAGCCATGGAATCGAACTGCGTGTTCAAAACTACGAAAAAACCCTCAAAAGATTTGACAGAAACCACAAATTATGACCCTCGATTAGCGTACGAACAGAAAAAACTAACCCAGGGGATGCTCCAACTTAAACGAGCTTTTTGCCATCGAAAGAAAAGCCTCCTGCAGCCAAAAGAAAATCAAAGGAATAAAGAAGGAGCACAGCGGTTTTCGAAATCGGCAAGGCAACGGAATCGAATTATTGAATACCAAATGAAAAGACACCGAGAGACGCTCTGTGGTGAATGAAATTAAGACAGAATGAGAAAAATCGTTTTCAAGTTGAATATATGCAATGAATATCTCCCCAGCCCCGAACACCGATCCCAATCGCTATTCCCGTAGTCGTTTTTACCTCTTACTCGGGCCCTTCTGGAATCCCCGAGCTCTCGAAATGGACCTGCACAAACTTATCTCTTCAAATGGAGATTGCCCAGTTCATGTCTTATGGGCTCTGGTGTCAAGGTGGAAGCCATGTTCGGGTCGAGCCCAAAATTGGCCTTTTCGGATATTTGTAGGTTAAAAAACAATATTATGAAAACTAAGATAATTTTTTAATTATTTATTTTGTTGTCAATTTTGAATAAATATTTTTAAAAACCAAGCAAAATTTTTAAAAAATGGTTTTAAAATCTTGTGATATGATTTTCTAAATGACTAAAGATTTAAATGTTGCTTTAATAAAGATAAATACTATTAAAAAAATAAAATAAAACAAAAAAAACCATAAAAGCTTCTACTCCGATCCTTTTTCTAATTGATGTGGGACCCTAGTCCATCTCCGTTTAGGGGCCAGCGTCTTTGCTAACACATCCCCTTATGTCCACCCCCTTTAGGGCTTATCCTCCTCACTAGAGCTTTTCTAATTGATGTGGGACCCTAGTCCATCTCTGTTTAGGGGGCAGCGTCTTTGCTAACACATCCCCTTATGTCCACCCCCTTTAGGGCTTATCCTCCTCACTGGCACACAGCCCGATATTTTGTTTTACTATCATTTGTAAGAGTCTAAGCCCACTGTTAGTCGATATTGTCTCTCTAAGCTTTTCATTTCGAACTTTTCATCAAAAAATTTAAAATGTTTTTTTTGGTTCTCCTCCCAATCGATGGGTGAGATCTCACACAAATGATTGTGAAATATACTTTAAGTTCTATATTTAAAAGCCCGAAGATTTAAATTAGATACTTTCAATTTTGTAAAAATTGAGTCTAAGAAGACCGTGTATTTTAAAATTTATAACAATTTAATTTTCTTAGTTAATAATTACATTTATTCTGATCTACTGAGTTAGAAATTTCATTAATCTTAACAAAATTTCCCTAATCCAAACATTAAATTAAAGTATTCTGTATGGAATGAATTCGTTTTCACAACCATTTCAAATGGATTTCAAATCCAAAAGTGAAACAGCTTTAAATCATATAGAAGCAATAAATTTGTCAACAACCTTCCAATGAAATGAAAGAACCTCCATTAATGGCGTGCCTAGAATCCTTAAGCCACACGTTACCCAAAAAAAAAACATTATAAAACACAAAAGAAACAAGAAAGAAAGTGTGTTAATCGAATTGAATTGAGCAACGAACAAACACACAGAGAGGGTGTTCCTGAGAGTAAAGAAATATCGACATTAATGGCGATTGAACAGAACCAAACATCCCTTTACATTCTCCATTTTCTCCCTCTGCCCATCATTTATAAATGGCCTCATTCAATGCCTCCCCACATTTGTCTCACTGCCTCCTTTGGTTCCTCTTCTTTAATTAATATTCCAACCTCCTTCCTGCTTTGGTTGTTTGAAGCTTTAATGCTTCTTCATAAATGCATCATCCACCCTTTTTGCTCTTTTTCTTTATTTCTGGATCTTCCCTTCTGCCTTCTTAACCACTTCCTCTGTTTCTCTTTATAAGTTCTTTTGAATCTTTGTGTATCTCTTCAAAAAGGAACAGATTTTGTGGTTTGCAGGAGTTCATCTTTTTCCAGCAGCTGCAATTCCGTTTCCAACTTATTGGGGTTTTGCATTTTAGTAAGTTTTTATGGTTTTTTGTTGATTTAAACGAGATGTTGGTTCGGTTCAATGAGAAAGCAGTGCTCTGTTTCACTTGGGTTCTTCTTTTTTATTGAGCCGTGCCAATATCACGTGTTGTATCATCCACAATCTAAGAGTCTTATTCATAAGAGAATGTTTTTTTTTATTAAACTATTGAAAGTGACGAGGAAAATGACTTCAATGTTCATATGTTCCACACGATTCGGTTTGTTTTTAGTTCGATAACATGAAGTTGGGTAGAGGAATTTTGAACTTATAACATCTTGTTTGAAAGCATATGTCTTAACTAGATGAGGTATACTCAAGTGAACCATGCTCATCTTGACATGATTTTGCCTAGTTTAGAAGGTTCAAAGTCTCCGGATCTTATCATTTAGTTTGCTAATAAGTTGAAAGACAGAGATTCTCCTTGTTCTTCAGATTATAACTTCTCTTTCGAGATTAACTAGATAAGCTATACTCAAGTAAACCATGCTCATCTCATCGTGATTTTGTCTATTTTAGAAGGTTTAAAGACAGATTCTCCCTCAAATTCTACTCGATTATAACATATTTTCTTGTTTTCTAGTAATGCTTTAAACTGTATGAACACCATTCTGTTTTTCAGCAGGCGAAGCAGAACTAGACAAGAACATAAACTACTATTACTACTATGGAGAGAATTTCCTTTTCATACCCAAGTTGATCTGTTTCCAAGGGTTTCTTGAGAAGAATCTACTGGAATATTGCTCTTAAAAGTATGTATTTATTATCATGTTCTTCAGGACAATGGAGAGCGCTAATAACTTACACATTGCCGCTCATAGCCACAAAGAATTTGCTATGTTAAATCACTCTCTATCTCTCTATTAGGTATGTGAAATCTGTGTATTCGTACAAGATTAGCATGCTTCTATTGCAGAAAACAGTGTGAACAAACAAATTCATGATCAGTGTGGAAGAAGTCGAAGCAGTATCTCAGAAAGTGGCATTCCATAGTACATTCTCACCTTCTCCGCAGCGTCGATGGACTTCCTTAATCCTCTCGGCAGATCTGCAAATGCCGCTGCAACTCCAATCGAACGAAGCAACGCAAATGTTCCCCGCCTGAGCCTTCCACTCGCAATCTGCACCAGAAAACAATTTGCAAATCAACAGGGCAGGTAGAATTCTATTCGATTCTAATTATGATTCTACGCGGAAAACACAAGGGATTGGAAGAAGCTGGGGGCCGATAAACACTGGATTTGACTTCTGAACCAATCTTCTTTTTCAAAATGGTTCGCGAGGTAGCTAGACCTATCTCAAATTCGTCTTCCATGGATAAATCCTTGCTTTTTTCTTACCTCCAAAAATAAGCATTTAGCTCAATTAATAAAAATAAAATTTTTAAAAGTTTGAATAATATTTTAACTCCAAAAACTCCCAAAATTACCTTTAATTTTCAAAAAAATAAAAAATAAAAAATACTCTTACAAAAAGAATTAATACTAATTTTTTAAAATCTTCAAAAACACATTTAAACTTTTAAAAAAAATCATAAATACAAGTTAATACTGTATTTTAAAAATACTCATAAATTTTAAAAAAAATAACATTAAAAAGCTGGGAGATGAGCTATGAAATGTTAGCCGATAGTTCTAGTCTTTATATAAACATAAAATTTCAATAATGTTTTTTTAGACGTAGTACCAATATCAAAGATATTTTTGAACTTTTTAAAATGTTGAAATAAAATTTAAGGGTATTTTTGAAATACTATTAAAAAATTTGAGGAATATTTTTGAAACATTATTAAAAAAATAAATAAAATAGTATTTTTGAAACAAAATACGCATTTTCTTCCTTCAAAAAAATATATATTTTTTTTAGTCTAGAGGTATAATTGATAGTTTATGAATAATTCTGAGATAACAAAATTTATGAGTATTTTTATTAATTTACCCGGTAGAGTGCCACAGCAAAGTCTCCTATCATCAATATGTTCGACATTGAGACCGATAACCCACGAACCCAAGGAGACATCCTCGTTAGCATACTTGTGTAAAACATGCCTGAGAGAGAGATAACAAACCTTTGTCGAAATCTATAATCCCAAAATGAAAGACCATAAAGTGTTTGTTTGAAGCTCACTGGTTCATTGAAATGTAAGCACCCAAATCATTCGAGATTGCATATAGTTGTCCTGTCGCATGTCGGAAATACTTGTTCCCACCTTCTCCAAACTTCCAATGTTCCGGCTCATGGTACCTCACTCCTCTGCATCACCATCGTGTTCCATCCAGTTTCAGCTCAATATTGACTGCAAAAATGGAAGGGGAAGCTGAAAATGCCTCACCTTTGCGAAAGAACGGGGCCAGATTTCATGCATCCAATGTATACTCGTGGCTTGGATCGATGTCTGGCTAGTGTCTCGCCAAGCGTTCCTGTGCCAAAGGGTAGAAAGAACATGAAATTTCCATCAAATTTTGATGCTACAAATGGCCACTGAATTAGCATACCGATGTTTACATGAACATCATCATCAACTTTGACGTAGAAGTCTGCATCCCATAGAGAAAAGGCTGTGACAAAGTATATCTTGGTTTTGGCGGATAATTCAAGGTAGCCTTCAACATGATCCTGTTCAGGTAAACAGTGTTGGATGATGATGAAGGTTCCACATCGGCTAATTTAGGAAATGATCATGGGTTTATAATCAAAAAATACTCTCTCCATTGATATGAGGCCTTTTGGGGAAGCCGAAAGCAAAGTCATGAGATCTTAACGCTCAAAGTAGACAATATCATATCATTGTAGAGAGTCGTGTTCATCTAACAAACAACAGCTAGAAACAATGGAAGATGGGTATAAAATATTACCAGCCTAAGGAAATCTCCATGCTTTTTATCTTCTGCTTCAATAGCTCTGTCAAGAATACCTCCTGGTGTAGCACTGTATAAGAATGAAAGCCATTGAAGGAAAATGGGTATTAGCCACTCAAAGGCGTAGTGTTCTTGTTTAGATAAGATTGCTACCCATATTGACTCAAATGGGCTGTGAATCAAATTTGAGTAAATTTCCGATCGTTTTGGTCGATTACGTATTGTCGTCAGTATCATGATTTAGGGAGAGGTTTCTACATCCTTATAAAGAAGGTTTCGTTCTCGTTTCCAACTGTGGGATCTCAAATCCACTCCCTTGGGGGCCAGCGTCCTCACTAGCACATCGCTTGGTGTCTGGCTAGGGTATATACCATTTGTAACAGCTCAAGCTCACCGCTAGCAAATATTGTCCGTTTTGGCCCGTT